TTTTGGTATACATAAACATTATAACAAATTTTAAGTCTTAACTATATTGTCACAAATTTCGACTTTTATCCTAAAATATTTATCAACATCATCGTAACTTGTTAGGTAATTTTCTTCTTCCGACTAATTTGGCAAAAAGTTGCTTAAATAATATTTGCCGATAATATTTTATAACATCTATTTAATTATATAAAAATAAATAATTCTTCAAATCAAATAATTTACCATTAGAGATAATAATTAGATACATAAATAATATTACTAATGGCCATATAATAAAATTAAAATATAGTAATTACTTTAAAATTTTAGCATGTAATTTATTTATATGTTACTGTAAATCATTATATATTTTTATCATTTTTTATGATTTGTATCCATAATGAATTTATTGTAAAGTATATTTTCATTGCTGCATATTTTCATTGTAGGTTAAATGGACTATAAAACCTTAAGATGCAAATTAAAAAAAAAAAATGATTTTAAATATTTCTAAATCAAAATTTTATTAGTTATTATGAGAAATCAAATTCTATAACAAGTGTGTATTTTGTAAATATTTATACACAATATTTTGTGTTAAATTTATTTACATAAATTTAAATTAGTTACATTAATAGTAATAATATAGGATATTATACCTCAGGGAGTGAACCGGCCTAGCGAGCCAGTCGAATAAAACAGAATATAAAGGAGACAACGCTGGACGAAATGATAGGGGCCAATGCGGCCAGAGTCGGGCAACATAAGAGTCAAAAGAACGAGGATTCTGGGAAGTCTGGTTGAAAACTGACGAGATTGAGCAGGGAATTACCCAAGTGGTCGATACATGGGCCGAGAACAGTCCGATGGTCGATCACACTGTGTGGAGGGTATAAATTAGGAAGTTGACTTGGATAAGGTCAAATCCGAGAGCCTCTAACGGAAATTTCAGTGTGACGTCTGGGGAATCAAGTGGGAATATTTTATCCCATGTGCAGAGGACACGTGGCGAAAGAGGATTGGTGTAGAAGATAGGGGTGTTCACGGTCCGTATTGGTCCAATTTTATCCAAACCGGACCTAACGGTTAATTTTTTTCTTGTCCATAACATACCGGTTTAATTTTTTAACCGACCACAATCCGGACCGTATTGGAGGTCCGGTTTGGCGGTTAACCGGTTAAATCCAAAATCCTTATTTTGGGCCTTTAATTCTTATTTTTTTCATTTAGGGCTTAATTTTTATTTTTCAATTTTGGGCCCAAAAGAGATTATTTGGGCCTAAAAATTAAGAGAAAACAACAATAATGAAATAAAAAATAAATAATTGTCCCATAAGCATAAAAATACACATTTTGTCCCATAAACATAAAAATACAAAAATGATGAACATAAAAATACCAAAAAAATGAAAGTGAATGTATTGTATTTGTTGGTCATAGTGAATGACGGAATATGTATATATATATATATTTGTTATAGTTTTTTATTATTTACCGGTCTGGTCCGGTTTAACTGGCGGTTTGCCGCAGTTAATCCATTAACCGGACCGGTTATTCTGGATTTTTTAAAAAATTAACCACTGGATTTTTTAAAGCTTTTTTAACCGACCATTTAACCGATCCGCGGTCTGGATTAACGGTTTTTTCGGTTAAAACCGGACCGTGAACATCCCTAGTAGAAGATAGTGGCGACGACTACATCTGACACACGCACACTATGTTTGTCAGGTCGGGGCAAACAACTTACTAAATCCGGGCAGCTCCTAGGTCAGGTATATCACCCTTATATATAGGGGTGAGTCTTTCTTGTTGACCACGAGCACTACATTTTTTACCTTTAAGAGTTGATTGAAAAAAAACATTGACTCGAAGACCCTCAGGTGTGAGTTCTTTGTAGGTACGTGACGTTCAACCGGCGAGAAAGAAAGAGATCTATCGAGTTCCAGCCAATCGGAGAGTTTTACGCTACCATTTGGCGCCGTCTGTGGGACCTTTCATTCGAAAATCGGTGTGTTGAGGTTGTGCAAGCTTGGTAGCTATGGCGGAAGTAATTCCCATAATTAATTTGCAGTCGTCGTCCGGTGAAGCTTGGACGACGGCGAGGCCGTTCGGAGATGGCCCCCCGCCGGACTTCTTTGGACCTGCACAGACGCCGGTGACCCAACGCCTTCTCCTCAAGGCTTAGGGGTCTCACCGGTGGTTCCAGAAGGAGAAGGAGGTTCAGACCGTGCTCAGGAGGCGCACGCGACGATGGTGGCGGCGATTCCACCGCCGTTGCAACCAGATCCGGTCGGAGTGCAGCCGATAGGACTCGTGGTGCCAGGAGTGGTACCACCACGAGCGGAGGAGAAACGCCATGGTCAACAGGTGGTGATGACTAGGCAGAAGATGCATCAGATGGTGGTGGACGTTGCACAGGCTGTGCAACATGTCACAAATAGCCTTTCTCGAGTAACCACTGCGCTAACTACGGTGGCGGGTACTCACCATAGCGCGGAGGAGGATGTGTTCAGTTATGGAGGAGGAGGAGCCCCGCAGGATCGAGAGATAGAGAGGATCGTCGATCAGCTGCGTCAATTGCAGGCCAAGGTGGATGGTCGAACGGAGAGGCGCTCTCGAGGACACCCCTTTTCGAGGGACATATTGGTTGCACCTTTGCCTGCTAATTTCAAGGATACAAATTTGGTGTTCGATGGGACCTCTGACCCGTCGAGACATGTGAGGGAATTTGAGAATATGGTTGTGTTACATGGATATACAAACCCCGTTAGTTGCAGGGCATTTTTATAGACCTTGAGAGGAGGCGAGCTCGATTGGTTCCAACAGCTCCCTCCAGGGTCGATCTCAGATTTCGAGGACTTTGCTGAGAAGTTGAAAAATCAGTACTCAAGTGTGTTGGCCCATGAGAA